CTAACATATCAGAGTGCTAGAATGTCAAGTGGAGATGAGATAAATTTAAGTAACAAAATTCCACCCTTCAACAACCAAAAGTGGCAACCACCTATAATCCTCACACTTGGGAGGACTTCGAGTTGAGGCCAGCCATATAGTGAGTCCTTGTCTCAAATGAAACCCCTAGAACTAGTCTGGTTCAAGTCAATAAATATGGTGGCACTGAGGCAAAGATCACACTTGGCTATTACCTTTCTGAAACTTACTACTTTTCTGACTTCCGGGGGTGGGAGGGAGTCTAAAGAAAAAGCCATTTTTTTTGGTTGTTACATGTTTACTCTAACTTACTGTAAATCTTACCAATGTTTTACATTTCTAGTCTTACAACTGTGATGTCACACTTTAGTCTTCTACAGATAAAAATATCTAGGACTTGCTAATGTTACTGATAATTATACTTAAGCTCAGGAATTCAGTCCCAAGTTTTCCTTTTGATAGTTGAAACAACTCATACCTAATTGCTGTGGCCTTTAAGTGACCCCAAACTTAACTCATAAGGTCCTCTAACACTTCAAGAAACAACCTCCCAGGACTTTGGACATTTTTGCAATTTACACTTAACCCTTCTTTTACTATGTGTAATGGAAAGCTGGAGTTTATGAAAAAGTTTTACTTGCTGCAAGTATGGACATTAGAGTGGAAAATAGAAAAGGGCAGTATATACATACCTAAGACATAGGCATAATCATCATTACAAAAGACATTCTGGAGTACCAGTGTGAATTCAGTACCTCTTTCCATGTATTCTCACTATACACCAAGCTGGCCTTCAACTGGAAATCTTACCACAGCTTATCCAAATACTGTGGTTATTGTACATAACCATACATGTTTGAGATTTCAAATTTGTAGGTCCATGTAGCCTCCAACACAACTAATAGGCAGGGAAGTATTTATATAAATGTGATCAAGGTCTTCTCAACTGCAGAAATAGTCCGCTTACAGTATCTGATTTTCCAAGTGACAAGTTTTCAATGTTCCCACAGCCAAGTTCTTATAAGGAGGCTGCCATAGAGGAAAAGCTCTGAAAGTATATTCATTTCCTCCTGTTATTTTAAGGTGGAATACCACTTAACGTAACCACTATTTAAAACCTAAATGGACCCAGAAGCTGAAACGGGCACTGCTCATGGTTACAGGCAGATAAATTAACCAAACCAGCCAACTTTGTAGGTGACCAAATTTTGTAAATAGCACTGCAGTAAAACCTATTTCCTGGGGTTTTGTGGCAGAGCTCCCTCTTGTGGCCAACTGATTTTTCCTATTAGTCAAGTTTTTGTTCAGTCTCTGGTAAGATTGAATCATACTATTCTCTAAGTCTCTCAATTTGCAGATAGATGGCTTCATGTTGATATTACTCACGAATAGTTCAGTTACAACAGGAGGTGATGATGTGTGCCTTTAATCCCAGAACTCTGGAGGCAGCGACAGATGGATCTGTGAGTTAGTTCCAGGACAGCCTGGTCTACAGAGTGAGTGCCAAGACAGCCAAGATTTTGTTTTGTCTCAAAACAAAAACCCCAAACAAACAAAAACAACCGAATAGCTTACTGTACATTTTATAGTACAAAAATCAAGAGATGTTTAACTATTGCCTCCATTTTTTTTAAGATAAAGCACTCAGCTGAACTTCAATTTGCCATCTAAATGGAAATTTCATAAAGCCATGCATGACTTTTCTTTCCTGTGTAAGCCACTGACACTATCCAAATGTATCTAAGTCTGAAGTTGCAGCTCAGTAATAGTGTGATTTGAACCAAGGACCTGGGTTCAAATCCTCAGTACACACACAAGAGTGGTTCTTCTCTGCTTCTGAAGTAGGTCCCTGGAATTAACTTGTACAGGCTATCTAGTCTATCCTATTTCTGTGTACTATAAAACAAAATATTCCTTGGCTCTTCCAGAGGTCCTGAATTGAATTCCCAGGCAAGCACATGGTGGCTATCTATCTTCTGCCTCTTCTGGCCTGCAGGCATACATGCAGGCAAAACACTATATATAAACTAAATTGATCTTTAAAAACAAAACAGAAAAATAATTCCTCTGATCTCTACAAGCACAACCAAATTCGGGATTATCAAGCAGAACTTTCAAAATTAAAAACAAAAATAAAAAACAGCAAAGTATGCTGTTAAGTTCTTTGCTCTAAAGCAAAAAATATTTTTTGCAAGATTCAATGATCACAATACAACTTCTCTTAATGTCACTCCAATTTGAATCTTTTTCATAGAACCAGAATGGGCAAAGTTACTTAAAAACTGAAAAGCAGGCTTTGGAGAGATGACTCATTTGTTAAGGGCACTCACTGCTTTCCAAAGGACCCAGGTTTGATTCCCAGCTCACTTTACAGTCTCCAGTTCTAGAGGGATCCAGTTCTCTCCTGGTACCGAAAGGCCACACACACAAACATACACAATTCTTGCGAAACACTCAAGATAAATAAAAAAAAAAACCCAAAACACACACACACACACAACTGAAATAAAAATACCTACCTCAAGATATATATAGTGGGTGGGTGAATAGTCCCTTCCATGCAGTATGTCTGCTACAGTGTTAACTATATAGTAATGGAATATACCGTGTGGGTGACACCTTTTCTTCTAGTACCTAATACGGTCTAAAAAGATGGAGCACTTAAATCTCAATAAAGGTTCCAAAGTAACAGCTTTTTATTCACTCCCAAAATTACATATAGCAGCATTAATCCTCTGCAGTACTGGTACAATTCTGCAATTCCTTGCCCACCCAAACTAGAGATGTATTGGAATTCATGGTTGTTCAGAATTTACATGTAAAGATCTTATCACATATACCTTATATATAAAAACACCTTCAACAAGGCCTCTGTGACTTTCACATGAATTACACAATGAAGGCACCTGGCCCAGATTTTACACTCAATAGGCTCAGCAAAACCCCCTGGTATTCAGGGTTTTCTAAGACTTCAGAATTGTGGATTGCCAATTTGTTTTCAAATTATAATGAAAATCAGCCACAAGAGGTTATTACAACAGAACCCAATCTAATACTTTCTCTCCTTTTAATACTATGTAAATACATGATTTATTTCATTTTTTTTAATTTCACCACAAATTTCATATACAAAGTAAAAAGGTAAACACCAAAAATTAAGCTTGACCACAGAAAGCTGAAAATAGGACCAGTCCTAGAAAAACATGACTCAGACAAAATTAAGAAAAGCAGACCTTAGAATTTTCTATCATACTCAAGTCCAGGATTAAGATGGGTAGATTCATACACTTAAAATTAAAAATGTAAGGTGGGGGGAGAGGACATGTCAAGATAATATTCATTCCAAACTTTAGTTCTTAAAATCCAGATCCCACACTAGGTATCAGAAAATGTTTCTTACCTTTGTCTCCAGTAGGATGAGCTGAACAGCAAGTTGGGTTATTCAATCAGATGTTATGAAAGTACTTGCTTAAAGAGATTTAATTGCTTTCTTGGTTAGAAAAACTAATCATAGGTTCCCTACAATATCCTAAGGGAACAGAGAAGGGGGGTGTTGGAAATCAAGGTAGTATTTGTAGTTTCAAATGGCAAAATTGTCAGTATATGGGCATAGCCCTACTTCCTTAAGACTTAAAACTTACTGAACCTTTCACACTGTGCTCTCTGGTGTTCAAGCCCAAGCCTGTAAAGTGAAGAACACTCACTTCAATCTAGGCCTGAACTGCTTGAAAAGACAACCTTGAATAGAGACCATTTCTTGGTCCTGTTCCCAAAGCATTCAAAATGAATCCACATTAGCCTTTCAAAATCATTTTTAGTAAGCTGGGCATGGTGGTTGACACTTATAATCCCAGAATTTGGGAAACTGGGCTATATACTGAGATCTAGGAAAGTCTGGACCAGTGAGGCAGTCTGAAGAGAAAAAAATACACCCACCTCTAATAATATTCTTAAACATTATATTCAAATTTAAACCTTCAATCATGCTAACTCATTAGGGTTATTTTTAAAAGCAAACCTCCGCCTCTGGATTGTATTTTGAATTCTGTAATACAGCTATTCACCCTTAATGAGTCTAACACTAAATGCTTTTCTTAAAGTAAAATCCTGGTTTTTAACTAAAATTAACTTCTCTTCTGGGAGAAGATACACTAAATCTAGGTCTATAGGGTTCATTAACATATAGATTGGGTAACCCCATTTCTTGAAACCTGTTTCTTTCACTATCAAGATTCCTGGTCTCCCCTAAGTATTACATCTGAATAATCGCAAATACAGCCTGCAATCCAAAGAAATTTAAAGATCTAGGTATTTTCTACCAAAATACTCAGAGTGGTTTGTTCATTTTTAACTACAAGCTTTGGATTTTAATTAAAATCAAAGCAAGATGAAGACTCAGCTTCAAGGGGCTATCAGTAGAGATACAATAGACAAAAATGTAATTGCTCATTTAATACATAACAGTTTAGGGACAGAATATGCCATGGCTGATAGAGGTATACAAGGTATTGATTCACCCAGTAAGCAGTTAATTTGCCAGCATACTGTCCGAAATTCCAAAAAAGGTATGTTGCATTCTAGTACTTTCTGCTAATGTTAATACTGAATTTGAATTCCAATGGCTACCTCAAAACTAAAATTTATTAGCTATCAACCAACTCTATACAAAAACCTATTTTGTCTCAAGTATCACCAAAATAAACAGCAACTGCATGTTCTTAATACTTTAGCAAAATATGAAAGTTTAATTTCCAGACGATTACCCCCTACACAATTGTACTACATATGTAACTGCCTCTTACTCAATTTATTACCCCCTTAAGACTTCCACAACAGTGAGACAGTTATGATCATTTATTAGATTAAAATCTTTAATATACTAATACATAAACAAAGTCAGATCTTATCAATTTAAAGAAATAACTGATACACTAGTTAACAAGTTTAAATTTTACATGAAGAGGAAAAAGGACAACCATGCATCGTTTTTTAAAAAATGTTTATTTTTCAAAGAAAAACGGCAATAGCCAATTGGAAACCTACTTATTCTTCAACTCCAATTTTGTTCTTTAAATTTAGAAGTGACTTACTGATTTACTATTTTAAACAAACCCCCCCTTTTCCCCTTTAATTGTTTACCATCTACTCGTGCTGAATCCTTCCAAGGAGATTGCTCCAGCGTATATCTCCAGGTCCTCGCTTTGCTCCTTTTACCAAAAAATGCAAAACACAATTCCATCGTGCATCTTAAGGGCTCCAATCGTCAAAAATAGGAAAAAATTCTTTGGAATAGCCAATTAAGTTGAATGAAAAAAAAATCCACACGAATGCGGTTTGGTTGGGGCAGGAAGGAATCCACTCCTATGTTCCTGGTAATCTGATCCCGCTCCATGAATCCTGGTAATTCATCCTCCCTATCCTATCCACATTATGATTTGAATCCAATGATCCAGCTCCAAGGATTGGGATCCAGTGAGCCCTCTCCAATCCAAACCTTTATAACCAGCAAAACCAAAAAAGAGGAGGCAAAATGTTAGATACTGTAATCAAAAAAGGTTTCTGGGGAATGATGAGTTATGTCTGTCATCAGTTTAACAGATGCACATCAATAACTATCAAATTCCCCAAAACAAGTTTCTGTATGGTGTTTAGATAAATTTTAGAAACTTAATCATTATAGAGACTAACTGGAAGAAGCACTTTATATTTACAGTTCAACTGATAATGCCAACACTTGCTACTGTACAGGCATCACAGGGTTTGTGGTTGCAAAGCTATGTAATTGAAGTTTTCTGGTATTGCTACCCACCTAAGTCTAAACTATATCTATTGCTCCCATCTGCAATTTAGCTTGTAAATTAAAGTGTTTAAACATGAGTCAATTATGAATATTAAAAGGGAAGGTGAGACTTAAAGTACTCCCAACTAGATTATCTACACTAATATGTTGGAATTATATATTTTTGCTGTCATTTTGTCTTTAAAAAAAATGAAATAATAACGCTCTATCAGTCACACAGAGGACATGCAGATTTAGCAGTATTGATATTATACTCTGTTTGGAAATAGACACCCTGTACCCACATGTACACCAACAGCAGGCCACACATAAACAGTTGTAACTAAGCACTGACAAATTAGCCATTCTTCCCACATTAGTCCCTATTAAAACAAAAAGGGGGGAAGGGAGCAAATAACTGTTACAAAATGGGCAATTTTCCCACAATTGCCAAGGTTTAAAATGCAAAGCAATTGTAGCTAAAGATAACTGCATAAGATGTTTGCAAGTCTTTTAAGGTAGATAAAAATTTTAACCCTCGCCTTTTAGTATAAGGTCAATACTGCCAATTTCATCTGTGACAATAGCACTTGGAGTCATACCATTGCCTCCATTATTGATCTGATCCTCCTCAATCCTCCTTTGACAATCCTAAAATGATTGAAATGTGCTCCACAATCCTTAATCCAAAGCATTCTTAATCCATCTCTTCAGATATGTCTACAGAAAGACACATGAAAAGCAAGATAAACATAAGAACTTCCCCAAGTAAGATAACCACAAACACCCCC